ACATACACCTACGAGTAGTTGTAGAGACAACAAATAATTCGTCGACATTGAATAAAAATACAATTGGTGTTAGGAGGTGAAAAAATACTAGGTATGTATGGTTGCTAATATTATAAAGTTGAAGGATTTGGTTGTTATTGTTCATCTTTGTAGTTCCGTTGCGTACTCTGCGAAAACAATTCGATATACTAAAAATATGTATATATGCATTCCTCTTTAAATTATCTAAAAACGTCCTGAACAGTATTTGTCTATCTTTTAAGATTAACTTGCAAGAAAGACGGGACGCGACCAACGTCTTGGGTAACAACTTAAAGTTATTATGTTTATAAATTTCAAATCAAAAGGTTTGTTTTGCCCAAAATAACTATTCTATGCGTACGAAGTACACATAGCTAGTTTATAATGTGGAGTTTAAAATTTTAATACTTTTATGCACTTATGTATTGGTTTATTGATATGAGCACCCGTCTTACGTTTATGAGGTCGACATACTCAGGTTCTTTATCAAAAAATTACCTAAAAACCTTACTAAGTACATACTGTTTTTAATTCTTAAGTCAACATATGCGATACTGTCTACAGTCTCTACACATATTCATTTCTAGAACAGAAATGGCGAGGGTGAAGTAATAAAACCCGTTGTAAGTGCGGTCGTTAAATTGTTTATTTACTTCATAGCGTAAACGTTGGTGGTCTACCGATTGAGGTGACCTTGACATAGTATTGTTTAGCAAACATAGCTGGGTTTCTCTATTTCAAACATGGATATGAGAATTTTAGAAAACAAGCATTTCAGTGGGTTACTAGATTGGACAGGAAAGCAGAGAAATCTTATTTCCCCTGTAGGCATAAGGCAGAAAATACGTTTGTGTCACTGTATTATGTTGATTGGCCATCTGTGCCTTGTGTGACCGAAACTATTTATCGTGTTTCCTAGAATTCGAAATAAGGCCAATTCGATAATTCGACCAAACTTCCAAGGTATTCCTAAGATTCGATTGTAGTCGATAAATCTACTTTTAAAATAGAGAAAGAATATCTATAAGAAATTCAAGTTGAAAGGTACAGAAAAAAAGTAAAATCCCGTTCCCCCCGTGGCGCATGCGGCGAAAACATTTGTGTCCGTTTCACTGATATTTTTATTTTGCATTTTGTGCTCTACCCGACCGAAACGATACTCTACTAACTAATGTTACTAAGTATTAACTAACTAATGTTACTCCGGGTTTCGAACTCACGACCTTCTAGCGTTTAACGCATTGCTAGGCAACACGTCAAACCATTTGGCTACAGAGGCGTACAGAAAACGCTGAACAAAAGTGTAAGTCATTATTTTTTTAATTAATAGTAAATAGGAAACAAAAGATATAGGTATATAAAAGTACCAGGACAATATAAATAACAAGATCGCATTCCGTTCGAAGGGAAGCCGGATAACTGGCCTATATCTCGAAGTGGGACATCGCCACTTGACTGGCTTTGTATTTTACGATACAATGAAATGTTAGACAGAATATTTGCTACCGATAGCGAGTCATGTTAGCCTAGTACTTCAACCATCAAGTATTAGGGTATAATCGGTGCATGATAGATGTTTGGTCAATATGCAAGTGGCCTCATCTTCATACGTGAAATAATTCGAGGGGCACGGGGCGAACACATTTCTGTGTCCGTTTTACTCACTGCAAGACCTACCGAAACAATCTATTTATTGTCTCCACGGGATTCGAACCCAAGACCTTACACTTTTTTCCATTTAGCTCCAGAAGCAGTATTAACTCATACCCTTTACTATTTTCAAATTAACGACTTCCAAATTTAAAATAACTACCTGTCTCATGAGAAAAATGTTTAAAATCATCATTTTAAATTATGATGACAAATATTTCAATAATAATTTTAATTTACGAGTATTCCTTATTCATTAAACCACATAACTTTGACTCAATCTTATGTTATGAATTCGTTGTGTGTCATAGTATGGAGTCAATGTATTAGGGCTTCATGAAACTTCGTTAGAATTATGTTTATTCTGCCCTAATTTACTGTCGTAGTAGTGTAGTGTGAAATCTGGATGTAAAATGGGTGTTAGGAATATCGAATTGCCGTCCGGGTCACGACTCACGAACCACCGAAGAAGGCGTGAAGTTTAATCGCGTTTCTGTTTCAGTCTGTGGATAACCATCTGCCAAAATAGGCCGACGGCGCATCTTGTTGAGATTTTATAGGGCTGGGCTATTTTTACCCATCACCTTGAGCTTGTCCTCCTCTATTATAAAAATGAGTTATTAATTTAAACAAATACTAAAGTAAGGTTTAATTGCTTTGTAGCGTAGGGCAGTTTTAATTTTCCGGACATAAAAGTGTGACGTCACGAGCCAAGTTATAAGCTGTGGGCACGCGGATGTCCCTTTTGGCCGCGTTTCCGTTACGTTAACGTCGCCTAGGAAATTACATTAGCCCGACGACAGTAAAACATATTTCAAGCTAGTATAACATAGCACATTTAGTTGCAATTTACTGTAAGATAAAATAAAAATCGAATATACTATAGTATATTCTTATAGCGTTTTTGTTATATTATTTAAGTACCTAAAACAAAGCGAATTAATAAAAAAGATTGTGTTTAAAACGGTTGACATTGTTTTATTTTTATAACCTTATATCTAAGCCAATATTTGTAAGTCCGTGCTTTTTGGTAATTATTTTTAAAATTATCTATATTATGGTCTTATTGTAATATTGCTTTGCTATGTGAACCGATTTTAGATTCAATTTCAAGATATAATTGTATCGTTCAAGGTACGAATGGTAATATATCGTATTTATTATTCACAGATCTATTTGGTGACATCACAATCATTGTACTCAAGGACTATAATTACTTTGCCGCATTAGACAATCAGTAAAAACCTTATCATAACGTCTCTAAATAAAAACTTATCTATACTAGTATATAAAGCTGAAGATTTTGTTTGTCTGAACGCGCTAATCTCAGGAACTATTGGTTCGAATTGAAAAATTTTAATTATATTTTGTGTTGGATAGAGCATATTTATAGGCTATAAAACATTGTGCTGCGACTAATAGGAACGAAAAGACACTTAAAATGTGAAAAAAAAAAACGGGGAAAATCTTTGTGGAATTTCGTTGCGTATGCTGTAAAAACTTGTTCAAGATACTAAAAAAATATGTAAGAAAGAATAATTCTTCTTTATATAATCAAAAAAAAATCCGTGACACTATACGTCTACCTTTTAAGATTATCTTGCAAGAAAGGTGCGAAGTCGTATAGATTAAATTTATAAAGAGTGAGGTTTGCAAAAAGAAATTTTGATAATATCATAAAAAATATTCTCCCAATGATTACCTGTTTTCTAAATACGCTTAAATAAAACCTTTTTATTAATTTAGTAAAAACAATAATAGCTCATTATAAACAGTAGTAAGAATTGACCTTTCAATTCTTACGGTAACTAAATATCCATGACCAGAACCAGCTGCGGTTTTTACCTGCTTTAAAATTATCAATGACATTTTCTCACAAAGTAACAAAGCTGAAGGTAACATATTAACAAAAAGGTTGTGCAGTTAACATTCAATGCTATTGTTATTGAGTTCTACTTAAATTATTTTTAAAAGATTATATTGCTAGATTAGGTTTATCATTTTCTGCGAAAGGCATTTTATTAAAACTTTAAACTATGAATTCGTAATATTAAAGAAACTTGTGTAGTATAAGTAGTATAGTTTTGTTGAAATAAAAATACGCCAATACACCACAAAAGCGACCAAAAAATGTTTGGCGCTAATTTACAGCAAATGTCAAATCAGTTGACAGATAACACAATTATTTTTTAAACAGTTTTAAAATATTTTTAGAATCTGTGGTAAGGACATGCTTGACAGTTTTTTGCTTTGGCTAACCACGATAAGGACTTATCTGTCCCTTTGTTCATTCGGTTGGAATGTAAGGAATTAGACCGTAATAATACAATATTAGCGAGTAGAGTACATTGATAAAACTGTAACGCCCACCATCGGGGCATATGTTTTTGTTATATACTGTGACTCTCTCACCTCGTAATAAGATGCAAAATAATTTTATGGTCTTATGATAAATTACACCTACCGCGGATGATAATTTATTATAACTAATAATAGAATAGTCTAAATATAGCCAAGCAATCATTGACGCATTTATCAGAAGTGGACCAAAATAATGATTTTAAAATAATGATTAAATCTAACAAAGCAATATCGATTGTTGAGGTTAATTGGTTTTAATGATTGTTTTTTAATTAAATTAAGTACAGGCTGATCCTGTTAACGTCGTTCAAAATCTTAACTAAACTACGTATCATTTTTAATTAATCATTTGATGTGTAAAGGCGAAATTAAAAATGGCGGTGGCATTTCAGGTGGCGAATAGCCTAATAGTCATACGTAGGGTCATTGACCGCTTGATCGATATTTTGTTTGTAAACATTGCTTGGGTTTTAAAGGTTCAATTCATCAGCTGTTGTGGAAGACGATAATTAAGAGCAATTGCGTCTGCAACTAGTTAATATAACGGTTTCTCTAATTGCCAGATGTAAAGCTGTAGAACAATACTTGTTTTTGTTCGTATCGTAAAGGACATAATTCAGGTAAGGGCGTGCGTAGATACAAATGCAGATGCGCAGTTTGTAAAATATTATTATTAAGGTATTTTATTCATACTTGAATGGTTAAGTCTAAGTAATTTTTAGTTTACTTATGTTTTATAAAGCAATTGAAATAGAAATGATTGATATGATTGACGTGTTTTTTACATTGATAAATATAAAATAAATGATTATTTAAAAAATATTTATCGGTGTTTAGTGCTTATTTGGAAATGGATGTGGTATTCTGGTGAAAAATCTAAAGATATAGCCGTTTTCAGTGATGCAATTTTAGAGGTGAAGCTTTAGAAGTAGGTTATTTGTTATGGTATATGCTTAGAGCTAGTAGAACTATGGCGTTACCTGTACGATCTGGGCGCTGTCCTTGTCCAGCAGGAACTCCATAGACTTGTGGGGCCTCGGCGTGCGAGCGGGCGGCGCGAGGGCCAGCAGCGAGCGCGCGTGCAGCACCGTCCGCTGCGTGTCCACGTCCGTCTCGAGCACGCCGGGCGGCGGGCGCCTAGGCGGCTTGTGCGCCACCGCCCCGGCTTCCACGCCGCCCGCCCTACGCTCCACGCCGCCCGCCCTCGACTCCACGCCTTCCTCCTTCAGCGGAATCCGCACATAGTGACCGGCGGCGGCCGCGCGCGTCCCCTGCCCGTCTGCGGTCGGCGTCGCGTTGACAGCACCGCGCACGTTCGCGCCTGCGCGCACCTTCTTCTCCTTGCGACCCGAGAAACGGAAGTTCGCGAAGCGCGACAGAAAGCCCGCGATGCGGCTGCGCGGCGCGCGCGTTTCCGTCATGTCGGCGAGACGGTCTGAGGCCGGCGCGCGCGATCCCGCACTCCCCACTACCGTTACCTCCGCGTCCGCTGCGTCATCGCTCGCGCTCGAGCTTTCAGTCTCCGTGCTGGCGCTCGCTTCCCGCCAGCTCACTTCGGCGACGACCGGTGAAAAAGTCACCCCTTTCGAGCCCGTGGAGATGGAACGCACCGGGGGCGCGCTGTCGGCGAGGCGGGGCAACCAGTTGTAATGAGGCGCGTAGTTCCTCAGGTGTTTCTCGCTGCGGCGTTGCCCGAGAACGCAGCTCAGGAGTGGATCGGACGTGGACATCGCCAGACCTGAGAGGTGTGGAAGCAAAGGCGGGCTCTCGGATCACTTCTGGTGAGGGCGAGCGCGGAGGGGAAGGACTCGGCGACGTCGGCTCTATCCTTCTTCTTAATTCATCTAACACATCATCCCACACGCCCCAAGAATCTCTGAGCCGTTTGGCTGTCAATACTGATATCTCTCGTTCGTAGTTGCCGGTGTCAGCGAGCGCCCTTTTCGAGTTGTCATCTAGTTTTCGAGCGGTCGCTTCCATTTCCCTTGTGAAGGCTCGTTCGGATTCGGTGGTAGAGTCGCTACCGGCGCTGGGCTCTCTTATGCTGCGAGGGCATGTTTCGGGTTGTGGTGGAGGCGGAGGCGGGTGTTGCGGGGGTCGCGGAGGCGGAGGTGGCGGCAGACGCGGCCGCCGCGGTGCCGGCCGATAGTCCAGGGCGGTGAGATCTGCCACGCTCACGGTAAAGCTGTCACACACCTCAAAGGTCTGTTTGAAGCGCGCGTTGTGCTGCGCGTGCCTCTTTGGCTCCGCGCACACGTCGAGTTCGGCGGGGAGGGAGACAGCGCGCGCTGCTCGCGGCGGTTGCCGGCCGGCACTGGGTGACGCGAGACAAGGGACGCTGCCGCTAGTGTGCGCTATTTCTGGCGGTCGCGCGGGTGGCGGCGGCCGACGAGACCGTTCGCAGTACCCACTGTCTTCACTGAGGTTCTCTGCCGAGAGGTGAGCACGGGGCGCGGGTCGCGTAGGTGGTGGTGAACAGGGCGGGGACTCCAGGGAATCTGGAGACAGACTCGGCGACACGGGCGCTGCGCAAGAGCGTTCGAGTGACTCGAACTGCGCGAGACTGGAGGAACGAGAGAGAGATCCAGTGCTGGTGGGCGAATTGGCCCTTTCCCGCCTGCGTCGTTTTGCTGGACAGGCCCACTCGCGTTCAGACTCACTGTCGCACTCAGATCCTAAAACAAATTTGACACTTTTACTACTAATTTAAAACGCTCATGCGTCTCGTCCGCGAACCGGTAGTGACAATGACACAAAATCTTAGATCGGTCTCCGTCTTGGAACTATGCCAGATCGCAAAACATGTTGATATTTATCTATCCTTGACGAAACAATGCAATGTCACAAAAACTGTAATAATGAAAATCAAAATTTTGTATGTATTGTTTATTTCTCATGGTAAATGGATGAACACAAAAACAATAATATTGAGGGACCTGAATTGAAGCGTCATCTATCGGTAATAAACCAAACTACAAGTAACAACTTCTAGTACATTTTAACTAGTCGATGATAGATGGCGTTGATTCGAAGTATTATACATATACAATTGCTTTCTATTCTCATGATTAAATGCTAACCTCCATTTCCGCGCACGTGTATAACAGAATCTGCATCGGAATCTGAGAGCCAAGTCGCTGCTGAAGACCGCTCTGAACGTAAGTCATCGCTCGTCTCCTCTACTATCGTTTCGAGATACAAAGCGTGAGTGCTGCCATTGTCTCCTGTGGACAAATTGAGAATTAAATGACGTGTTCGTAGGTCTATTCGCCACTAGATGGAGCTAGAAGTAACTTTAATATTGTATAAATCTTTTTTTTTAACTAAACTTGTGTTGTTATCAAGTTGACAAAATTACATCAAATAATGGGATTAACTTAAATCAAATTATACGATAAACATATCTATGGTAGTGTAACCCATTGACTTTATAAGCTTCTGAGCTATAAATATTTCTAAATCTAGGCAAGCTACCATAACAAACATCGTATTAGATCGAACGGAAATATGAGAACGATTATTAACTTTATAATGATGTAGTCATTTTACATCAACATTGCAAACAAATTACAGGTTTGCACCTAGTAATTATTTGAATTACCACCAATTGCATTCTTTAAATTTTCTGATTTTCTGATAAAATATTCTTACGATAGCTAATAAAGTTACAGCAACTGATAATCGTACGACCTTTCTTGTAACATTTAGGTAAATAGTTTTTTGTTATTTTGTCGTCTAGAATTCACTTTGTTACTGCATTCATTATGAACCATTTTTTTTCGTTAATTGTTTAGAGATGACGTAAACCTAACCACAAAGGCATTGGTTTCAACAGATCTGGTCATTTGGCCGATTAATTTACATCTTTTTATTACAAACGCAAAGAAAAAAAAAATTCCAGCAAGGTCTGAAATAATGTTTTTATTTTTCATGTTTAATCAATTAATGGTAATATATGCAAATGTCAATCCCCTGAAATCGTACCCAGAAGCTTAAATGCTTAACGCAATGCATGTAAACCACCTAACCACGAAGACTTGCAGGCATAAGTATATACCTTACATATGAGGCTATGAGCCAGAGAGGCCTAATAACGAAAAAAACATGATTTTCAATGAGGAAAATAAAAATGCGCAATTAATTTAGGCGAAAATGAATTTGTACTAATATTTGTGTAAAAATGTAATTAGGCCACTCTGGCCTTAGCGGCGTCAAATATCTGTATTAGCTGTTGCAACTTCGTCCGTTAATAATATTTATTTTGGGCATCTAAATTTGTTTTTGCAAACCCCTTTATCTTAAAAAACTTAAACTGTTACCCACATGGGGTCCGCCCCTTCCCGTTGTTCTTGCACGTTAATCTTAAAAGATAGACATATAGCGCCGTGGACTTTTTTTTAACATCATTTAAAGAGAATTTATTCTTTCGCGCATATTTTTTGAGTATCTTGAACCGTTTTTGCAGTGTACGCCTCGGAAACCCATAAGGTTGAATACTTTTCCCCTTTTTTTCACATTTCTTGCTGTAACTTCGCTCCTATTAGTCAGAGGACGATGTTTTATAGCCTTCCTCGATATCAATTCAATTCGAAACCGTAGTTGTAAATTAGTGATACTAGTACATTTGCGTGACAATCTACGTAGCTCAAGAAAATAAATGTTGCTCAGGCAGAGTACAAAATCACCAGACAGTGTAACAGACACAAATATGTGTTCGCATCTCCCCTTCAAGGGGGACGGGAAATATCTACACCACAATTTTGTGTTTACGAAATTCTTGTCACATAAGTATTCTATGTAAAAATGATTCACCGCAAATGGTACGGTTAGTCTTGTACGAACAAGAGTAGGCCGATGATAAAAATTCATCAGCAGCGCTGGGGTCAAACGTGTACCGGACCTACGAGGGACCCGTTATGGGGACACATTTACTTAATAACGCTTAAGAATCATCTATGCCTAATCCGAATATCCAAAGTCAAAATAGATCAACAACGTATGGCTGGAATATTTCACCAAGTGACTTGAATAAAGGACATAAAACGCATGGCTTATAATCAAAGGGTCGTGTGTTCCCGACCGGCTGCAACGTTTCTAAAAAAAAGAATTTTTCGGAAACATGTTTGACTTTTACTTCAGGAAATGTGCATATTAATGGGAGGTAGGAATATCTGAATTTCATTCGAGTCATAAACCGTCCACAGATGTAAAAGCCGCGCAGTTTAATCGCGTTTCGATTTCAGTCTGTGAATTTCCGATTATCCAAAGCCAAAATAGGTCGACGGCGCACCTTGGATGTTGATACAGTGTAAAAGAAATACGATAGAGATTTAGATATCACTTCGAAAGGGACATAAAATTATTAAACCCTATTTAATAGAGGATAAAAAAATATTTAAGACCAAAAAGTATTTTTTTATTACTACCAACATGACAAAAAGAATTCTCGACATCGTAAATCTTTATAAAACAGTACTCCACGTAAAATAAATGTTAAATTTAGAGTCTGTCTGTCTCAGACTTTGAAAACCACATGTGTTCACATGAAGGCACTATATAATTTAAAAATCGAAAATATATTGAAAAAGTCGTGCTCGAGTCGAAAGTTTTTTCAAATTTCTAATCTAACTAACTAACAAGCAACAAATTCAGGAGGACAAAAACACTAATATGACGATACATATTAGCAGCAGAAAGTTTCACAATATGACGATAATCTCGCGATATCCCCAATCATCTGTTTCTTATTATGAGATCGCCACTCACCAAGAGAAATTCATTTATCGCAAAAGACCGTCGCTTCTGTCGGTGACAGCTTAAGAATTAAGCAACTAAAGTTTTCTAAATTTAGAAACCTTGTAATATCAAATAACTTTTTTAATTATGTGAATGTACAATTTTTAGACTAGCTAGCAGGTGTAATTGTAACAATGTATGGCTAAAAATCAACGGGTCTTCAACGGCTACAAATTTTTCTAATCAATCTGTAATTTTTCTGAAACATGTAATGAAAATCTGCATTTTGAATAGTTGTTATCGAAATTCCGTTCAGATCACGAACCACCGCGAGTGTCGGTTCAAGTTTGTGGATATCCGAATGGTCAAAGCCAAAATGGGTCGACAGTGCATCTTATTTAGATGTTATTTCACACATCAAGTGAACTCCATGAACTTCGGCCCGACGTTTCGGATGCTTTGCAGCAGCCGTGGTCACGGGGAGACTGATAAACTTAATTTTCAAATAAGTTTAACTAATATATCGCGCTTTAAACCGTTAAAATATTTTATTTAAATGTGTAAACTATAGACAGTATTTGGGTAAAATCAATGTCACCTAATTTAATTGCGCATTTTTATTTTCCTCCTTTTCGAAAATCGTGTGTTTTGTTATTAGGCCACTCTGCCTCACTATGCAGCCTCAAATAATCTAGAATTAATTTAATTTGTGTAATATTTAATGTGATACGAGTAAACACTTTTTAATAAAAGTGTTTACTCGTATTTACCTTAATAGGTAAATACTAGAAATGGTTCTTCCAATTTGATAGAGATTGTACGGAATCACCTACGGAATCAACCTACTGGGCAAACGTCCAACGTTGCCAAATAAATGATTCCGTCGGTTTTACGAATTTAAAATTTCATACGTAAATCTCATGTCACATACTTGAGAATTGGTCGCCGAGTTTTATTATCCAAATACAAGCCAGGCGTGTTTTTTGTACCAAAACGATTACTTTCCAGTCACTGACTGCTGTACCGCAGACAAGCCGTAAGTTCACACTGCGTGACATAGCGGAGGTACCGGTATTCTAGTTTATCCATTCGCCCATGGACATCCGCCTAGGGTGGGCCCTTATCCAGAACGTAATGACCTATCATAATGTACTGAATAGGGTATCTATCTATACTTATATAATATAAAGCTAGAGTTTGTTTGTATGTTGTATTTAGTATATTAGTAGTTAAAACAAATGTGTTTTTAAATATTTAGCAGAAATTAAGGCACGAATAGTTCAACTACTATAAAGCTGGTTCACATTGTTTAATTTAGCCCATCTTAGTTTTTAAAAGTAAAATACACCGTACGTAACCCTAGAAAACATAATTTACCAACAACATTCTTCACATGTTATTGCACATATAAATTAAAAATATAGAATGTTACATTTAAAAAAATAACCACATAGGGGCTTGAAAAACTTGCTAAAAATAATTATTATCTGTCGCATTAGATCTTTAGCTCTTGGATCCTTTGAGATCTTTAAAATTCATAGCCAACTCGTTTTCTTCTATACTTGCACAATTTTGACTTTATCCCGCCTACGAATGCGAGACGCCATTAGAATACAGAATGCAATCTCAAAATTATCTGTGGAATGCAGAAAGATTCATCCGAAGCGAGAAAGACTGCATTCCATAGGAAAGGGACAACGATAGGTTTAGTTTTGTAACTTATGACAGCATTGTTATGAAATCCCAGACCCAACCACAGACTATATGTATATAGGGTAAGCCAAATCTTAAAACTTGTTCTTTAAAGTGTAATATTAAATCTATGGTAAGTAAAACGAAAAAAAATACATCGATTTGCAGAATAACATAACTACAAATATTCTTCTAAGTTTACAAATAAAGTTATCGTAACTTTATTTGCAAACTTAAAAATAACGTTACGATAAACGTAAAAACCAAAAAACGTAAAAATACTTATATCCATTTTAATTATTTTCCCCTGCTGTACGCAATATTTGAAAAGAAAGAGGTGAGAAATAAACAATGCAAGGGATTTTTGAGTGATACATTTAAATAAAACACTTTAACGGGTTAAACGCGATATATTAGTTAAACTTATTTGAAAATGATTTTTAACTTCGCCCGCTTTGCAGAGTCGTGTCATGAGGAGATCGTGTTATCGCGTTTTAAACCGTTAAAGTGTTTTATTTAAATGTGAACTACTCGCGTAAACTATAGAGAGTATTCAGTGATACATCTCAAATTAAAATCAAGACGCTTATCTTTTAGTTAACAAAATAGGTACGAGACAATTTAAAACGTGTATTGTTTTCTATAATATTATATTGAATCGCGCAATAAATTTATCTATTTTAGTATTTGTTATCGCTTCTTAAAAGCTCGTCTTATAATAGCGCATAACATAAACGTCTGTAGGTGGATAAATGGTTGTTAACACAATCTACAAAAACAGCCTGTTACAAAATATCCGCTTTTAATTGGGTCGAATTCTTCCTGCTCGTGGAATTTCTTATAGTCTGTATTCTATTTTAAAAAATGTTGCATAGAGTTAATGTACAAATAAACCTTCTTTTATTATCGTGATCAATGTTAATATGTAATTTCAAATAGCAAAATCATCTTTTAGTACAAGTAAGTGAATTTAATTTTATTTTAATTATATGTATTCGCAATAAGTTAAATGTTATGTCGAAGTGTGTTGCGTTACTCGCAAATTCGCCTTGAAGCAATAAATCTATCAATCGAAATAATTGTCGGCAATTGTCTTTCAACTAATGGTGCCCACAACTCCATTCTTCGTGAAAAATATTATCTCTTACCTAAACGATTTGCTATTAATTATAACTAATAATTATTTGAAATTAAACAGCATATTGTTAATAAGAAAAATATAGAGAAGCCCAAAAATGTATTTACAAATCATTAGATTTTGTCTTTGAAAGTTTTTACCTTCTCAACCAGTGTCCACGGCTGCAAAGTATCGAAAACACGAGACTGTGATTAAAAGGAAATATATTTTGCATTTCAAACCGTTAATGGTATTTTTAATTAAATTGGCTAAGGCTCACCTCATGTTAATCCCGCCTGTTAAGGTTTCTCTTTAGAATAAGTGTTCTTTTTAATGGTATAAATTTCGATTTTTTCTTTTGAGACTTTAATAATACTAAAGTGTGTAAAAAACGGGGGGAATAGCGCTTGTTGACATTATCAGTGGAGTCAGTTAGTTACATTTGAAAAGTCGTGACATCGTTACAAATGAGTTAACTAATTTTACGTTTTAAACCGTTACTTTTACGGGAGAAAATATAATGTTCTCGCGTAGACAGACAGCTTCTAGTTTCACAGTTCAAGCAAGTTCCACTCAACCATAACAGGACAGAGACAATTTGAAAATCGAACGCGACCAATGAAGGATGACGGTGGCAAGTTGCAGCTGCGTTCAGGAATCTCGAGAAAACACTTGAATAATTTATTATACGTCGACGTTTGCGCCGCGATGGGTGCGTTTTGACACGGCTTATTAGATGCACGTTGAAATTATAATGAGGTCTCTATAGAATACGTATTAGGTTATCTCGCTCTCTACATAATGTAATGTGCTAATTACTAACATGTTATTCGATATTACTATTATTTTCGCCCTTATAGTTTTTGCTTTTATTTTGACAACAATTCGTATTTATTTGTGTATAACTTGACAACTACATAACTATTTCAATGAAACTTAGTATGACATTGTTTTACCAACTTAAAACTTAACTTTTTTATTAATATTATAAAAAAACAAAAGCCTTTAGTCATACCGTGTAACGTGTACATTGTTATACAAATCTAAGTAGAATACTAGAATATGTTAGCAGATTCGTAGATTCCTAAAGTCTACAAAAATTTTATGCATGTACATTTTCCTCTAAAAGAAGATAATGTTAAATCAAATAACATACATTAATATATCACTGACAAGCAGTTACGTATTATACCGTTAAAAATATTACCAATACAAAGCGTACTTAATTTTTTTGCCATGTACGGCTATGTGAAATATAGAAATCGAATTAGTGTAGTCACGAAGGCTAACCGGTTTTTATTTGTATCTGTTGTGATACATAAATCCGTGATAAATGTACGAAGGTATGCAAGGAATGCGGTGTTGCAAGCTGCAAAGACTATATAAACACTAACTTAGACCACAGATTATAAAGACTAGACAAAGGTGAAAAATATTTTCTTGACATTTATGAGTTACAACATCGACAATTTCTTTTATAAATATATATAAAATGCTTGTGTTACAAATAATAAACCAATAAGTACACAAAAGTTATCTTTTATGTCATGTACAAATGGCTGGTTTTTAATATTGAAATCTTGTTTTTTGACCTTCTAATAACAATAAAGTAAATCTTACCGACTAAATGAAACTATAGTGTGCGAAATTATTTTTCCCTCTGAGTAGGGTAGAGGGCAAACACATTTTTGTGTCTGTTTTATTGTTTAGATACTGGCAGGTAAAATCCGACTTATGTGCCCTGCAGCACTGTCAGATTAATACGTAAAGTCAAAAAGACCTTGGTAAAAGCTCAACGACTCTAAGCTTAGATTGTTCGATTTAGCTATTCTATTCACGCCGTCATAGACGGAATGGTAATTAGTTTGCACGTTGTACCCGTTTAGCAGCACGGCTTAGACTCCAGTTCTGAGTTTGAATGCTATCTGTAATTTATATGTCACATCTACAGATAAAACAATTGCATAGGTGTATTTATTATTATATTTACGGATTGGGACTTCAACGTTCGTCAAGAAGTAGTTAGTACACTCGCAGAATATGAGTTCCCGGGTTTGATTCCGGTTCGGGCTAAGTTGACTAATTAGTAGCAATCGAAAAGCTCATACTGGTGTAGCACGTTTTAAATCGTCTCTCGTATAAGAGAGGTAGCACGTGGGGAAAGAGGGATAAGTTGAAAACTTTACATTATTTTTATCTGTGCAATAAATATTGTTAAAAAACAGAGAATGCAACATTATATTCGTTAAGAATCAAAAATTATCTGTGGAATGTAGACAAAAATTGCCTTACCCGATCGAAATCGCCTGTTCGACATTTGAAAAGCGCGCCAACATTACCACAGAGCACAAAACTTTTCACATTTTGACGCTTACAAGCGGAATTCGAAATATTCTCGGTTTTCGATGGCGGATGAATGAAATACGCGGGCGTCCGTATACATATCGCGCGTTCAACTCACAAAAGCTTGAGTTGATTCATTTGAATCTATTATTATGCGTGGCAAGTGACCGTATGTCAAGAGCAAGACCAAGGATGGCCTTACTTGTGTGCGTGTCCATACGTATCCGATAATGAGTGAAGTATTATTGATAGGATTATATTTCTTAATTCCTAATCAATAAAGTTGTTATTTCAATGGCATATTATCTTGTTTAATTTGGGTTAAGCGGCAGATCAAACGCTACATGCAAACCCCGATTAATAGTAGTGTTTGTTTTAATTACTCACATGTAATGAACTAACAAGATTTTTAAGACGTTTACAATCTGGCTTATGAAATACCTTCGAAACGTTTCGAGACACTTTAACGGTTTGAAACATAAATCATTTGGTAGTTCTTGCTACGTATTTTAAACCATAACCCGTAGTTATAAATATTTTATAGCAGCGGTCGCGGCGAGTCCAAACATCGTAGTTTAATTAACCAACATTGTTTGCGTTTGAAACCGTTTAAAAACGAAACCACATATCGTTTTGTAATTAAAACACTGCCAAATAATCAGTCAGCAAACACATTAACTTGGGTCCTTGCCGGCGGTATCGCATAACTATTGGAACAAATGCGATTATAAGATTACAAGTTGCGCACGAAACCTTAAGCTTTGATATATCAAACGTACATTTAATCAATAAAGCTGGGCACGCTATAAATATTTATTACTTATATGTTAGTGCACTTACGAAAAATACTGTAATTATCGTTATTTTAACCGATGCATATAGGTAATTTATCTTTTTAGCTAGACT